TTATAAATCAATCACTACACTTTAAATATTTAAATAGCTATAATATAATGAATAACTATTTTTTTTGGTATAATATCCCAATACTATTTTCATCTATAGACATTTAAAATTTACAGTATTTTAGCTTTTTTAATATGATATTTAGATATTATTGTATTAATTCGTTATAACATTTGTTTGATAAGTATTCATATTTTGAACTACTAGTGTGTAAAGAAACCCTTACACGATCACCAATACTGTTAGTATAATTACTGACAGTGCATTCTTCATATGGTCGTATAGATTATTGTTAATATTTGGTTTGCTTGGTATTCAACTGGTGAAGGTGCAAACTTCAATAAACAGCAGTTTCGATGTGTCTTTATTTATTAAAAAAATTATAAAATAATAAAAATAAACAAAAATAAAATGAATACTGATAGTACATCAGTACTCACATTACACGATCACTATTACTTTCAGTAATGTTGATTGTGTGAGAAAACCAACGTGTACTTAAATAAATTATACAAAACAGTAGACATAAGAAGTGGTTAAGATTAAATAGTAGAATGATAGGTTTGTGATATTTTTTGGATTTTTATCACTCTCAAAATTATTTATATAGAACTTCATAATTCTATTCAGAATTTAAAACAATATATATAAATTTAACGGTTATATAATTAAACAAGATTATTAATAAACATTTTTAAAATAACTCTAAACAGATATTATTAATAATTGTTAAATTTTAGCCAATAATAAAGTTGAATCATGTATTAAAACTTCATAGTTTTATTCAGAATTTAAAACAATATATATCAATTTAACGGTTATATAATTAACCTAGAATTATTTAATAAACATTTTTAAAATAACTCTAAACAGATATAAACAGATATTATTAATAATTGTTAAAATTTAGACAATAATAAAGTTGAATCTAATTATTCCAATTAAAAATTAACTAAATTACACTTCCCTTTAATAACAATAAAAGTTGTACTAAAAATATAAATAATCGTTAAAATTTAACAATTCTTCTGAGGAACAATAAAATACAAACGTTTCCTGTCTGCTATATTACTATAATATATTATAATATATTATTTCCCGCACCTTTATACACTTAATCAGAGAAATGATATCTACGTTCATACAAAAGTTCAACAACATTTATATGAATGAATATATGAAAATCAAATATAATACACGTGAATGGAAACATTTTATTGAATGGTATACGTATTAATATAAAAAAGATTGATATTTTATAAATAATAATTTATTTTGTATAGATATAAGTAAATTAATGAACGTTAATAACGTGTCTAATATTGCTAGTATTTTTTTTTATACTTCTAAAGAGGTTTCTACCTTAAGTTAATTCAGTGTAAATGTAATGAATATGTTATTGAGAATAACAAATTATAAAATAAAAATTTTTTAGTACGAAATATTACATATTATGTTCGGATCAAATTTTAAATGACATTTTTATGAAAATAAATTACAATTGGCAAAGTTAGTGTAATAGGTATATAATACAAATTACAACAGCGTGATTGAAAGATCATCTATTCAAGTACGGTTTGGAAAAGGTCGTCGGTAGTTATTATATACGAGTAGAAGGAATGGGAACAATAATTTCGTTTTGTAAGACAAACCAAGTGAAAACAAGTGCAGAGCGTTCATGATTACATTTTTTTCACATCATATCTCCATCAATTAAATTGTTATTTATTGTAAGTACATATATTCATGACAACAAAATAATTTATCAAACAACCACAGTTATTATTATTATTCTCATATGAATATATCAATACAATAAAACATAAAATCAAAATGGAATTGGCGAAAAATGTGTTATACAATGCAATTAAATGTGTTAGAAATACGATTTTTGCATAAACATGTTTAATTTAGTTATTCGTATAATTATTTAAATTATAAATCAGTTTACTGACCCACGCACTTCACAAGCATAATATTTAAACATAATTGTTCCATGCCACAAGTTTATATGATTATAAAATTATGTCAGCATACGACGATCACTCAAAAAAATTATTTAAACTATTACCTATTCACTAGAAAACGTTCCGTTGATAATTAAATTTATGCGTTTTGATGTGCTCGAAACAAACAATATACAATACCAATATAATGTGTAATACTAATGTAAATATATTAACTGAAGGCCAAAATATTACTGATATTTTAGTACTTCGCGTTAATAATTACAACCTTTAGACATCTAAATCAACTTGAAATCTTCTCGCGGGTGCTTTTTTATAATCCCCCTCCACAAGGTATTCACAATTCAGTTATACTGTTGTCTTTAATTCCTAACAACATGATTGTGACCATTGTATCACGCTTCTAAATTGTTATTATAACTACTTTGCTTAATTGTTACAATTAATATTATTACTGTTGTACAAGATCATAGGTTTAATTGATTTTACGGAAATTGATGCACATTGAATTATGGATATATCGCTACATGTACACGCATACCCATACAATGATATATTTACATGTAAATTAAAAGAATAAACATTCGTTAGTCAAGTATATTTAAGGAGATTACAATGGCTTTCTTTCTCTTTCTATCACACGCGCAATATATGAATTTGGACGTTTTATATTTTCAACGTAGGTACCGTTCGATCTATTAAGGTGATAAACATTTTGAAAACTGATTTGAATTCATTCGACGTACAGTCTTTTCTTTTTAAATCGACTTTCTCACGTTTTTTTAATTTTGTTCTTAACATACTCAAAAATTAATTTTTGTTAATTTTTATGTTTCAATTTGTATAATCCAATTTTGTGGAATTTTGGGAGAAAAAATCATAATAGTGGGAAAGTCGATCTAAAGAACACCTTAAGATAAATTTAAATTAGTTTTAAAATTTTTATTACATCAATAGATCGATCGGTACGTTGGAAATAGAAAACATCCAAATTCCTATATTGCGCGTGTGATAGAAAGAGAAAGAAAATCATGGCTTGCAATCCCCTTAAATATTAAAACTATAATCATACTCAAAATTAAAATATTTTAACAATATTTTTGATCGACGTTAAAATAGCTGCTTACACATTACGTCCCGTATAAAAAGGTATAAAAAGGTATAATACTAATTGCATCCCCATTACCTTTACAAACATTTTTCAATTTATCCATACTTTGCTTAAATTGCATTCACTTAAACAACCATAAAACTTCGATAGTTAATAAAGAACAATTTTTAAAACAAGCATTGGCAAATTTTAAATAAAAACAAACTATTAGATTAATTCATAAAAAAGTTGCCATATCTTTTAAATTTTTACCGACACCATAATATTTTTTACTACAGTTAATATTAAAAAATACATACATACAAAAATAATATATTTTTTCTAATTGGCAATACCATAATATTTTTATACAATTACAATTACAAATGCAATAATACGATAATAATATAAAAAGCAAAAACAATATTTTAACCTACCTTTAGTAGTAATTATTATGTAATTATTATTACAGATATTCCTAAGTATGTTTAAAAATGAGATAAGAAGGGAAATATTGTTTAGTTTTTAAAATATACGAAACGCAACTAGTATGACTCTCAAAATTATCCGGGATGCAATTCGGAAGGAATTGTTGCCATGGATGCAGTTCAAATGCAACCGTTAAAATCATGTGAATTGTTGAGTGAATATTTTGCAATGCATTTAACCAAATGCAATAACTATTATGGTATTCCCATATGGCCATCCACGGTCATCCAAAAATGCATCAATATTCAAAAATATATAATTTAATCTAAGATTTGTCATAAAATTATTAATATCGGCATAGTCATATAATTTAAAAAAAGTTCTTAACAAGTGATTTGTATTAATAAAATAATAATATAATAAAAAAATTATTCTAGTAACCAATATTATTCTTATTCTTATTAATGTGTCAAGTGGTTTAATAATATCATTTTATATCAGTAATGACCCATGATTTTAAACGACAAAATACGGTTGAAGCCAGGGAGTCAAAAAGTGGTTGAAATTGTTATAACGTAGAACAAATTAAAAATGTTTTCAGAAATTAAAAATAAAATCAGTTGCAAAGTAATTTTCTGGTCAAAAATAATAATTGTCAAGTCCAATACTTATTTAATCGACACTTATGATATAACTTATATACAATTGTCATATATAATGACATTGGTCATATTCATTTCAACATATTTTTAAATAGTAAATCTCTCTGTGGAGTAGTAATTTAGGATTTTAAGGTCTACGTATACCGAAATACATATCACCTCTAATTATTATTAAATAAAAGGTAAAAGTAATGTTTTAATAATAATATTCCTATATTAAGTATTATATTTTATACATTTATGATATTATGACATACGTATTTTGTAAGTTGAAATTCGAAAAAAATTGAAATAATTTATAAACACCTAAAATTAGTAATTTTTAATAATATTTTGACAAGAAGTTTTAAGTTATTATAACATAGAGGAACTTATTGACAAAAAAATAATCCAACAAATTTCGTTCAATTTAACTGTTTTTAAATTATCTATAGTCTTGAAATTATCAGAAAATGTTCCAACGAGCAGGAAATATATCAGATACATTTACTTGTAATATGAATTATATTATGCAGCACAAAGTTCATTAAAATACATATGTATATTATAATTTAGAAAGTGTTTTTGACGTAAATTGAATAACAATAAAAATAATGCATGTACAATTGGAAACAATTTCTTAATAATATGATGATGTAAACCTTTGCAAATTGACCTTATCCATCATCATACTATAGTGTATCTATAATGTATTCTTATATTTGTTTCGTTTTAACGTAATGGATAACAAAATAAAAAATATTCGTAAAGAACGCGTCGAACGAAAGTTCAAATTCCAACTATATCAGCAATTAAAGGGGCGTAGAGTTGGGATATGGATTGCCTATATAAGACGGCCGTTTAATTGTAGCTGATCAGTATACAGTCTACTAACTGAATGATAATATCATTACATTGTCATCAACAACAACAATCATCATGAGTGGAAAAATCATTTTATGTTTCGCAGTCGTCTTAGTTGGACAGGTAAGAATTCATAACAGAATTTTATTAGACTCGATTTTATTGACTTTGTATGTAACTGATGATAATTTTTAATTCAAAACCGGCCGTTCATTTTAAATAAAATAATATTTCAGGCTAAGCATTAATTTATTAACTTTTTTAATATATATATATATATATATATATATATTAATTTTTTCATAAACTATTTATTGATACACTTAAAATTATATTAGCACAAAATAAATGTTCACTATTATATTATTGTACATACATTTGACGTAGGCTATTAGTATATGTCGATCGTAGTAATCGTTTAGAATTAACGTGTAAATGATGTGATACAATTAAAATAATTCATTATGTATTTGTTTACAAGTACTGCACTAAATTCGACCTGTGATTATTTTTTCATATTACATTTTTGATTAGTTATTTTTTTCCTTTTGAATGGTTTTAAGGCACAATATTAGTATGGGAATTCAGTTAGTCAAAAAATAACTTTATAAAATAGTATTAAAGGCTTTTATCGATTGTATATTATACTTTTTTAAATGCTTGGGGTGTTTTACAGGCCATGTCAGCTTCCCTGTTCGATGGCGAAGAAGTCAAGAAAGTCGCAGAACAATTCACCTTATCCGCCGCCACGGTCGGCAGCCACATGGCCTCATTAATTGGATTCCCAGCCAATCCAGCTGATGCCCAAAAAAATATTGAAAAAATTAAAAGTGTTGTGACTAATGGAATCAATGATGTAAGAAAAAATAATTTCTATTTTGTTTTGTTATATTATACTCCATTATTTTTATTACCACAGTTAGAAGACCAAGCTGGCAAATTGAGAGAAGCCGTGCGCAAGCAGGCCAGCCCAACATTAATCGAAAAATTCGATGAAGTAGAAAAGGAATTAAAAAAACACGCCGCAGAGGCCAAGAAATTCTTGGAAGATAAAGTCAGCAAGCCCATCGATGAGAAGTACAAGGACGATGTGAAGAAATTCTCCGAATCCATTATCAAGTCCACCAAAGACTTAGAAGTAAGTCAAAATATTTAAAATAGATATCTACCTAAGGTACAACTTTATTAATATTCCATACGAATAATGGATAAATAGAAATTGATATTTTCTACAATAACCAATGACATTTTTTTAATAATTTATTTTTTATTTTTGCGTTTATATTTTTAACATTATTATTTTAATTGTGTGTCGTCTAATTAACACCTTTTTTTTTTCAAAGCAATAAGAATACGTATTAACACGAATGCTCACAATCGTCGAATATTATACATGTTTATGTTTTGTATTTTAAATGTTTCAGGCAACCATAAGCAAGACCATGGACCCAAAAAAGAAGCAATGAAAATTTTATTAACTAAATAGGACTAGTCCGAATCGTATTTTATTTCTTTTAATTAAATTATTTTCTTTATAGAATCCATTTTTATACTTGTCTTTTGAAATAAAAAATATCTGTTTTAATACTTTATCAAACTAATTTTTATTTATCACGGAAAGTTGATAAATATTTTACTATCTTTTAACTATTAGATTATCTCCTTCATAATATATCAACCATGGTAAAATATTTATACGTGTGCATTGCATATTGCATTGCCACCACAATCTATTTCAGTCATAATAATCAAAATCTAAGAACAAAGAATATTCATATGGATTCTATATTTTTAAATGCGCAAATAATAATGTATTACACTTTATTGAGTATAAAAACTAATACGTAACATCTCTTTTCAATATATATATATATATATATTACAATGCATAATCCATACAAACACTCAGCGAAAGTATGGTATTATAATAGTTCACCTAACCACATCGTATGACAGCCGTAAATATCAATTTTTGATTTGGAAATGTATAGCTTTAATTTATGTAATTAAGTAGTGTTATGTTTCTAAAACAAGCAATCTTCTAACTATTTTAAAATTGAGATCAGAAATTGTGGATTTTCTCTTAAAATATCTAAAATGGAATAAATACTGGTAAATTTATAAGTTAAAAAATTAGTGTCAATGCTAATATTTGCTAAACCTTGGTATTTGTGGTTAAATGATAAAGTACATTTTATCAGTTAACATAAACAAAAAAAAACTATACCTACAACTTATAAAGAATTCATTTTTAAACAAGTTAAAATAATAGTTAAAATTTGTATTATATTTTACTTGGATATGTGCGATTGGGTATTTTAAAGATTTTAAATTCAAATAAAATCAGATAAACAAAAACAAGAGTTTTATAATATTGTCATTTACATTATTGATTAATTCATTTTTTTTATTATTTACATTATTTTTGCCTTGGTTCTTGATATTTTGAAAATACTTTGAGACATGTTGTATACATGAATTAATACAGATTGGCATTTATTTTAGAAAAAAATTTAATAAAAAAATAACTTTCTAATGATATAAGTAAAATATATTTTCCAAATAATTTAATGATATTTCAATACTTTATAATGTACCGGGTTTGTCCTGAATAATAACTGTGAATTGTAGTTATAACTTGTGTACAAATATGAAAATAAAATAAGTGTGAATAACAGTGCTAAATATTTAGCAAATAATTTTATAGTAGATTAGTGATATATTTAATAAATATTAATTATGATATAAAACCAATATTCCATACAAATGATTTTATTATTTTATACTACATTGGATTAGTGTAAGTTGTTAATAACATTTTATTATTTTTAAACGTTTGGATGTAAAAATAATGTTATAGGGCCAATTTGTTACTGAGTCTACAACTGAGAGAAAACTACCAGTACTGGGTACTACTACTGGGGATTCCATATTAAAATCAAGCTTTAATGAATATGGAAAGAACCTAAATACGACGCAGAAAATTAATATACCACCATCAGACATTGACAATTATGACAAATTTCTTAAATTTATAAAAATTTTAAGACTAATTTATTTTAAGATTATAATCATAAGACATAATTATATTAAAACCCAGTATTTTATTAAAAAGCTTATTGGGAGTTTTTCCCAGGCCTATATAGATGTCTTTAACAACGTAAACAAGATATTTGGTGTAGTCCGTAAAACGAATTTAATAACCCCCCCTTTCATAACTATACTTAATTAATTTCATTTTTACAGGATTCAACATCGTTTCTATCAAAATTGCCGGCTATAATAAAAGAGAAAGAACAAACATTATATAACAAATTGCATGCATTTGTAGAATCAGTTGGGCAAAATATTTCGGAAAGCCTGAAGAAAATCTATAATAATTATTTGAGTCCCGTCGTCCATATATGCTGGAAATATGCCAGTATAACGTGGTCTACTGTGGGATCTTATATGTAAGATTCTAAACAATTTTTAATATTTAAATGTCATAACTTGTTATAATAATTCTTCAACATATTTACATCACAAATATTCTCATGATAATAACTCATGTGCATTGAAAATAAGAATTCTTAATTCTTAGTTAAAATATTTTTTAGTTATATTTTTTACATTTTTATTTTTTTACTCGATAAAAATTTCTATTTTCGATTATAAAATCACATTTTTTAACTATCAAGATATATATCTTGTATAAAATAAGTAAAAAAAATTGCAAAAAAAAAAAAGAACCAAATTAAATTTTCCTTTGTATTGAGGAGAAAAAATATATAAATTAAGCAATGGTGATACTTCTAGGTCGGATGAGATACAAGGATGTGTGAATGGTATTGTTGTATTGGTTTTTTAAAATTGATATCAATGTATTATTGCTCTCGGAAAAACAATTCTGAGTAAAAGAGGAAGGATGGATCAGTTTGTAGTTTTAAATATGGTTGATGTTATAGAAGAACCAAATTACTTAATATATTAGGTAGAATTTTGTTTTAATTTTCGCAATAAAAAAAAAAAAAAAGGGCATCTTACATTTAAGAAAATCAAAAATTTTAAATGCCTACAAGCAGCACAAACTTCATTGAATTAATTCGAATTCATACCCCTCCTTTAAAGTAATAACTAGAATCTATTTACTATCTTTTACTTTTTATTGAAGCATTTCTTCTAATAAAAATTGTGTATACGGACAAAAAAAATATATATCATCAATACTTTCCTTGTTTTATTTATAACTTAAGATAAAATCATTATAAACCAAAACTTTTTTAAAATTTAGATACAATTTAACAAGATTTATTGATAAGATATAACATGTTTTGCTTTTAAAATTTTTTATATATAACATCATATTTAGTTTATCTTATTCTGTACATTTTTAATCGCTTGGCTGATTTTATGCAAATCTACATGCATCTCTTTCATTAATAAATTCCTTTAACTCCTAATAGTTATGTCTACTGCAATTTGATTCCATATACTCCATCCTTGGATTTCCTTCCTCTTCTGATATGACCTTCAACGTCACCTTCTATGAAGCTTTTCGATAGACCATCATTTGATTTACAAAGCAGAGATATATATTTTGCAATAGCAAGAATGTATTCATTCATATTTAATGTAGTTGAACTTGAACCGAGAGGAGATAGAAAACGATTACATCTATTTATGGAATTTTCAAGTTAACTAGGGAATTCATGAACTGAACATTTTAAAGAGAATGATATGTTTGAGGAATTGTCAAAGTAATAAAGATTCAGTGGTTTATGTTCTACTGTATACAGAAATATTCATGTTTTATTTTATGTTTTTTTATTAGTTGCATAAAATATTTAATTCCTAATTCATTTTTTATAGATTTCATCAATGATTTAAACCGAAGGACAATTAAAATGTATTAGTTTTGAAGGATTAATTTGCATACTATTTAATTTTTTTTTATTGTATTATGAATATTTTAAATTTTTAAATACTTTTATCGGGCTTGATTTGGAATGCTAATGATAGCAATTTAATAATATTAAATGTATAATGAATTTATGAACATTTTAAGTATTATGACTACTCCGAATAGTATTTTAGTTCTTACAGTTGTATTGTTTTCCAAATATTTTTATGTATTATAATATCTCCAAATAGTATTTTAATTTTTTTTAAATGTATTTTAAAAATTGTTATGTATTGTGAACTATGAGTACTTTAAATAATATTTTATTTATTTCAATAGTATTATGAATATTTTTATGTATTAAAACTACTCTACATGGTATTTTATTTTTTTCATTTGAGTTATGAATGTTTTAATGCATTAAAAAAAATTTTCAAATAGTATTTTATTTCTTTTAAATGAATTATGAACATTTAAATATATTAATATTAGGTACTTAAATAATAAATTATTTCTACTTATTGTCTTACTATAGAAAAATCTAGATCTAGAATTATTATGTAAAGTATTCAAATTATTTATTATAAAATAAATTAATAAATAATTTGTATTCAAATACAATTTTAACATTGATTATATAAAACAAAATATCATATAAAAAAGTTTTTATATTTTTCGTGAAAAAGGACTATGACAATTACCCAAAGAACTCCCCCCCTGGATTATACCAACGATACTGGTTCATTTAGTTAACACGAATCACTTATTTTCTAAGTCATATTTTATACCTATTTTTGTAGAAAAAAACATTTTTTTTAGTTTTTTTTTATCACATAAAATTTTTTTGCATTTTATTTTAAAATACCGTAAATGTTTTTTAAATGTTATTATAATGTATTTTAATATAATGAAGTAGAATTTTCCTCTAAAAATGTCAATGACAATGTTTATATAATGTTACAGCTGACCCGACAAACGTTGTTTTGCCATATAAATTATTTCTAGAGAATATTTTGCTAGAAAAAATAACTAATTTCATATAGACATGTAAGGATGTGGATAAGGATAAGGATGTGAGGAAAAGGTATGGAGTGCTATGATTGGTGACGAAATATAAAAATTAAAAAACATCAAACATTTATTTTTTTAATAATTTATTGAAGTTGATCCATTAAAAATATATATATTTATCGCTAATTATGACAATATTAGTAAAAAACAATATCTATCCCTTAATGTAACAGAGTATACAATATTTTTTGTTATCCCATATTTCGCCAACGCAATCTGGATGGCTCGAGAGCACGCCACGTATAATTGACCGTGTGAAAAATATGATGTGCTCAAATCTAAGCCACAGACAGACAGTTTGGCCTTGAGACTTATTGATAGTCATTGCAAAGACCAATCTAATTGGAAATTGAAGGCGTTTAAATTGTATTGGCACATATGTGGGTATAATAGGGATTTGCGGTAATAATATATTTTCACCTCAGAATTCGCCATTTAAAATGATGGCTTCGATAACTTTTTTCATTAATTTTTTAACGACTTATCGTGTGCCGTTGTATAACCGTGGTGGGTCAAATTACGAAGCAAAATAACCGAGGATCAAACCTTAAATTGTAAATTATGCAGTGGCATGCCTGGTAAATTCAATGAGCTTAAAAACTCAGTTGGATAATTTACAGCTTCAGTAGCATCGCAAACTGTATCAATAGATATTTATGACACCAAGTCTCCTGGTAACAAATGTTGTATCTTGAGATTCAATTCGTTGACGTCCACATTTTTGCTACTAAAATTGCTCTTTCTGCTAGCCACTCATGATTTGTGTATTGTTTGTGTACATTGGGAAATATCTGGTCAATGAGAGTATCTAGCGAATAAATGATTGTGCAGAAATCAGTCAATAATTTTATACATTTTATACATTTTTATACATATAGATTCAAAAATTCAAATAAATAAAAAAAAGTAGAAAAATACAATTTTGAATTTTAAACAAAACAAATATAATTTTTTTAAAACAATAAAATTGCCGGGAAAATAATTTGTTAAATAAACCACATATTAACTTGAATTAAATAAAAGGAAAAATTATGTAATTTAAATTGGTTTTTAAAATATATTTGAAGGGACTAGTAACACAATTCGAATTTTGGCGAATGGAGTATATATAGTCTGCAAGATTATATATATATATATTTATTGAATCAAAACCTCCTTGGATAATTAATTTTTTAATAAGTTAAGTGATTCATCGTATCCGAAACACTTATTTTAATGACATTAATTTGCAACCCATAAATTACATAATGACCTTTGTACAAAATGCGAACTGTGTCTTACTCCCTCGTTCATGAATATGATCTCCATCAGTATTATTTCTTAAGAAATAGCGACGAAGAATAAAAGATTTCACAATGATACTATAAGTATGTATTCAAATTGAAAATTTTATAAATTTTTAACTCAAAATTGTAGATATTCGAATTTATTCAGCATTTAGATTCAAACACTTAACAAAAAAAAATGCAAATTAAAATGTTTGAAATATTTAAAACATGTAAGAACAATGTACAATGAACTGAATGCTCAAGATTTTTTCTCAAATCATAATGATTTTAAGACTTTTACGAAAATAAGTGGAGAAAATCTGAAAATTTCAAATATCTATTTATAATAATAATAAAAAAGAGTCAAAACCTTTTTAAAAAATATTATTCTAATAAAACAGTGATAATAGCAATCAGTGAAAATTATTCTTTAGATAACGATGAAAAAAATTAGATTTTATTAAAATTTGGTATCCAAAAAAATCGATTATTCTTTTTTTTTTTAAGTTTCAGTCAGTTATTCTAAATTCTTTGAAAAACTGTAGATAAATTTAAAAAATAATCTCAATATTTACTTAAACTCAATGAACCAAAAAAAATATTATCTATCATAAAGAAAAATGTTGATGATCTAATCAATTCTTCTAGTCGAAATTTAGTTAGCAGATTAATATATAACATACATAATGGTGAAACTAATAAATTCATTATTACACTTAAAGTATCTCAAAACCATTGCATGCATAAATCCTTGAAAAAAAAAAAAATAGTTAGAGGCGCAAAAAAAAAGTTAGCAGAAATGTTCCGTCCTTCTCCGTCCCAATTTGAGCACTGAGTGTACTGCCTTGAGTCCAGTTCAAGCTATTGAGGCAAAACGCAAAATGCAACAACTGGATAAATAGCTGATTTAATAACTGAATAATAGCACCGATATTTTTTTGTGGTTGTTACTGAAGTAGTAGTATAGTTCCGGAAATAATTTATTGTCAACTTATTTAGATAATTTATTTTCATTAACTGTATATAAACTTCAAGAAGAAATATAAGGACATTTAATTTGTTGTCATTAACTTTTTTAATCCCTCCCATTTTACCATTAGAAAAATTTGAATATCTATATCATGGCCAGGCACTTTATAGCTCAGTATAACCTCAAAACCTGATGAGAACATCACTAAACGTACGTATTATTATTAAGTGGGTTTATTTTCAGAACACTTCAGTAGGGTTAAATTATATTTTTCATAATTTTTTTTTAGATTTGTAATAATTTTAGTTGAAAAGATAAACGTATTAAATTATGGCTTAAAGTACTTGTATGTAATAGCGTGTTAGGATATAATTATAACATAAGCGATAAAACTATAGTTAAAATTTTTAAACTGCACAAAAATTATAAACATTACTTTTCCTATGAAAATTGTGTTTATTTTTTTTTTTTTTTTGTAGTAGTAGTAGTAGTAGTAATCACCTTTTTTATGGTTAAGACTTTTTTAAAATCTTATTGTTACTCTCAATATATTATAAAAATTGAATACTAAGGATAAATGTTAGGTAACTAATTCAAATAATTCACCTAAAAGTTAATAAATCGGTATAGAAAATTATGTACATTATGTTATTATGAAATTATGTTCAGATTATCTATTAATCTAAATTTTAAAAATATTAATAATTTTCGGGTTGGATATGGTATTTCGATTTGAAGTTTTTCCATACAATTATATATATATATATATATATATATATGATTAAATTTATATTTTATTATAACCATTATTGTACATTGTACATTATGGTTCTAAAAAATATGACATTGTTTGAAATTCAATAACAATTTTAATTTATTATTTATTAATAATTTATTATATTTCTATTTCTATTAGATTACTGTTTAATATATTTATACTTATAAATGTTTTTTTATTATTGCGACTGTAACCCAGGAAAACACTGAAATCCAAATATCTGGTAAATTGTTGTTAAATATAATATTATCTATATTGTAATACAACAAAAATAACAATAGGTTTGAATCAAATACAATGTAAATATAAAAATGTATGAGTTACATAATAATTTTAAATTACTATTTTCAATAATTTATTTAAAGTAGTTTCGTTCTATTCGATCCATAATATAAAAATGTTTGTTATAAATTCTACAACTCAAATGTAATGCTTAATAATATTTAATTTAATGTATTACAAAAATTAACTGTTATTCGACTTCATGTCTAAATCAGGTATTTGAGATTTGAGATTTAATAAAATATCAAGATTTTAAGAAATTTTTTTTTTTTATTCATTGCAATTATATGTATAAATAACCATTATTTTTTTGATGCGTAAAAGGTATAGATTATTAAATCTTTAGTCGATTGAAATATTTAATATAGACACATTTATAAATATATCAACCTTTGCGCAGAACTTCTTTATGTAATAAATTCATCATGAAATGTAATTTTATAGATATTTTCATAGTTTTAAAATAATGAAGGACTTGTAACAAACGATATTTATTACCTAGCTGATCGTCATTTGAAATCTTTTCTGAAATACATTTCATTTAAATAGTTACGAACAATACAATCTTAATCATACCATGAATAATGGTGTATTAGAAAATATATTTATGGGTATACGCACTAAAAAATTATGGATATTAACCCTACGCTCGACGATTTATTTTTTCGATACGTTCAAATAAATTTAATTAATCCTTTGTACATGTTTATAATTTTTAAAAAAACATTAAAATATAAAACTACAAGATAAACATTTACCACGCATTATAAATTGCATGATGCGGATTTAAGAACCGTGGGCTGAATGCCCATACTCCTTATTATTTTATTCAATGTTATACACTAAATTTAACTTTAAATACGAGTGCATTACCATAGCGCTCACTGTAATCTTCAATAGATAAATATTTCATTCGACTTCATGGTTCATAAAAATATTTTCCAATGGACTATTACATTTTTTTTTTTTTTTTTTTTTTTAGTTATTTTAGAAGTGTATAACCGTAAAACAATATTTTACAATAAGTATACGCCGAAAATCGAAAATCCGCTGATGGGTATACGGTTTATACTCGCGTATACGTACCAATAAACCCCTGACTATGACCCTATTATACTATCAGTTATTTTTTATTCAGCTTATTTTTATGATATTAATAAACATTTGGTCATTTTAATATGAAGTTCCATGTTATATGTTTCGTTGTCGTTGATTGTGGTGGTAGATTATTATAAATAGGTATGGAAAACATTGTTACACGCACTCATAATAATACTTGGTAGGTATACAATTACTCAATATATCTATACTGTCATTAATCATGAAAATTCTTAACTTTGATGCTCTAATGAGGTGTTGTCTTATAAGTATCGATAATAATGTATCGAGTTATTCAATTAGTATCAATTTATACGTCAGCTCACACCCATTTACACCACTAGACAAGAGGCGTAGACACGGAAACTGTGTTAAGTGAGATAAGTGAAATCCACTATCGATGTTTTTGGGTTCATAGTTTACGCATAAAAACTCACAAAACAGTGTTACCTAGTTTATTACTAGTGTCTAAGTGCCGAGTACTGTTTGTCATTAGGAACACAATTCAAGAAAATGGCGCACATTAAAAGTCAGTGTACGATATTAGTTTTTTTCCTGTTCTGCTTATTGCAGGTAAGTTTCAAAATTCTATAGTGCATTTTTTCTTTACTATACATTTTTATTAAGAATGTATTTTTTTTTCTTTTTGCTACCCATTAACCAATTTTATTTAATTTTATAGACACAGGCAGTGTCCGGAAGTCTAATTGATCGATCGGAAAATCCACTTGACGAATTTACCAGACAACTTACAAAGTCAACGGAAAAAATTTCAGATAAATTACATTTGAAATTAGAAGAGTTCAATGTCGATAAATACGTTGATCAAATTAAAGATAAAGTTCATAATTTTAATGGTGATTTTCAAGAGGGCATTCAAAAGGTTAGTTTTATTTGAATTATATTCATGTTATGTATAGAAAATTCAAACCAAAAAACTTTTAAAAAATGCTGTAATACAAACATTAAAAAAGCATAAAATTTTGAAATACATTCAATCTAATTTAGATAAAGATGTGTACTATAAATTTAATAAAAATACAATTGTTTTCGTTTTAGTTGGAAGAGTGTCTAGAAAAATTCAGAAAACAGTTGTATGAAGTTATCCCTAACCAGATTGATCGTTTAATCGATGAATTAAAAGAAAAGGATCCAAAAGCGGCCGAGAATGTAAAACATTTGAAAGAGGAATTAATAAATTTGAAAGAAAAATTTATTGCTTTGTATGAAAGCTTAAAGAAAAAATTCATAGAAAACTATAGCATGCTAAAGGACGAAGCGTTTTTAAAAGCTAAGCCAATCTTCAAGCGTTTGACACCACTCATCAAGGACGTCGAAGTAAGTGTCAAAGAAAATCCAATATAAACAAAATGCATATTTTTTAATAATTTTATATATTTTTAGGAGATTATTTTGAATCTGATTTCTGATAAGCATGAATCGAAGAAATTAAAAGGATAAAAATGTGGGTGTGACCAACAACTTAAGTTACATACGCTATATTTTTTGTTTATAATATTTTGAAATTTCAAAAGAAATTGGTTAAAACTGATTATATATTGTACTTTTGATTTTCTTTGTTTTTTTTCTATTAAATTATTGTTTATTACAACTTTTATGTAGATTTCTTTCTTCAGTATCGATCAAAAGGTTATCAACTATTATAATATGATTTCTCGTCGGTTGACTTTTACACCTGAAAACTTAGAAGTCTAATCTATTAAAAATGAAATTATATTATTTATTCAATTATATATGTACCAAGTAAGTATTAGTGTTATTAAAATTTTGACTTATATGATCACGAATTGAAATAATATTATAATTAATTGCAACTTCTGTTAATTATTAAACTCTAATGTATTATAATTATACATTTATATTACCTGTAAAAAAATATAGAATTATATAATAACACTTTTTCATAAGAGTTCATGATTAACAAAACATAAACTTAAATAGGAAATAAACAAAATTTATAAAAACTAAATACATTTTTTTATTTTTTAAATTTTGCATGGGTAATATATTTAATTATCACTAGTTTTTTAAATCAATATTCGCGTTTATCTTTAGAAATGGAAAACGTATTTTAATAATAATATTTCGATCAAAAAGCAGTCTACATAATTATCGTCTATGAGAACATTAAGTCACAAAGATCCTACATGGCTATAGATATTAGTTTTTAAAATATTATTTCTAACACTTTAAGAATAGTACTGTTCGAAAAAATTATTTTCAGCCACGTTAAACGGCAAGAATACTTTAGTTGAATGCTTATAGCACTCGTCAAGGTAAATATAAAGGTAGGTTATTTACTATTTATTATTATTTGATTAAAATTTAAGCATTCAACTATACTGCAGATGATTGAAATTTCGTTATTTATTCATATATATATATATATATATATATATATATATACCAATAAAATTGATTAATAAGTTAACATACACATTAAATATAATACTTTCATTATACATAAGTATACAAACTTTTGAACTTTAGCAAACTTTGAAAATCCACCTATTTTACTGGTAAGATTGAATAAAAATTAAATTCATACGTTTGATGTACAACTTAACGCCTCTAGTAAAGGCTCAGTTTGCCATATTCTTGTTACGTTACCTACAACTAAGTATAAAATCGTAATAATTGTATTTCCGATCTCATTAAAACGAGTATGAGCACTCAAACAATACAAATTATGTGAAAGGAAACGTAAACCAAAAATTGTTGACAAATTTCTATTTACATAACCAATAAATAATGACAATTCATAGTAGAGTTAATTCTTAAGCACTTGAATGTAATCATAAAATGTGTTAAGACAATTTTAAAGGAATGAATGTGGATTTAAAGTGACACTCTCTTTATTTAAAAACCCGTATTATATCAGGTAATATTACGTCTAAAACCAATATTTTAGATAACCATTAGATGCCAATAAGTGTTTAAAAAAATAATTTGTTTTACTTTCCGAGACTTTAATAAATAATTGTTAAATATATATTATATTATATTATTTCATATCTTAAATGTTGTTCAATGATATAAGGTGAAAAGAAAATGAACATGTTTTCATGATCAATCAATTATTAGATATTTTTGTTCTATGGAACTGTGGAATTAATGATATGCTACTCAATTATGATTAAAACTTATTCATTTGAAACATGGCCTTTAACCTAATTAAAACTACTTTAGCAACAATACTACCTCTGATACCTATATCCGAACTACATGTCAATTTCTTGTTAAATATATTAACATTTTATGATAAGTAAAAATATAAAATTGATATATTTTCTAAGAAATGTTAAACACATTTAAGAATTAACTTGATTAATTCTACTAAAACAAAATATATTTATTCATTTAATTAGATATCAATGAAGGTAATATTCATTTTTATTATTATTAATAAAAAAAGCGTTTTTAACAAATAATTCTCAAAAGCAATAAAACATTAGTCTTTCAGGTCATAAAATTAAAGATATTAAATACATACAAAATGTTATATATATATATATATATATATAAAATATTGTTATAATGAAAATGTATTGTAAAATCTACATATCAAACATGGGTTTTATGTTACATTTACATTAAAAATTCTTTTTCAAAACGAAAACAGTATTGTATTATGTTTATATTTTGTTTTTATGATAATAAATTAAATAAAAAACATTTAGATTAAAAATATTAAATAATACATTTTTTAAAAAAATGGGTAAGTCTTCGAATAGGTGAGTGATATTAACGTATTGGTCTTATCATTTTAAACCAATACACCATCTCGAAAAAACAATTATAAGTGAATGAGAACGGTTGGATCAGTTTCTATTTCTAAAGATAGTTGATTTAGTATATTATAGTAGAACCAAATATCTTGATAAGATAGATTGAATTTATAAAAATTCTAATTTAAAAAAGAAAACCATTTATGTAGATTAATAGATTAAGAACATTAATATGTTAACCTAAATTACCAAACATTAATTTGTTAAAAATTTTAAGTACCTAAAAACAGCACAAATTTCATTAAAATATTAATTATATTTATCTAAATGTATAGTATATAATTCCTATAAAATGCTAATAATAGTACTTGGTAAGGTTTTCGAGTCACTACAATAATTATTTATTGAATAACAACTAGATAATTTATTTCGTGTAATTGACAAACATTAAAATAACCAATTTCATCATTATAAAACTTTTTAGGGGCTTTCAAGCAATTTTTTTTTAATAGCTATTACAAAAATCGTATGAAAAATCTAATTTTCCACTTTTAGGTGTAATAAATGAAAATTATATGCATTTTTTACGACCTTTTTAGAATGACGCGTATTTTCTTGATTTTCATTTGATATTATTTAAATTTTTTTTTTCAATATACACTTAATTTTTTTTTCATCGGTCAGTTAAAGACATGCATGAGGAACTTTGTACTATATTTTAAAATCTTTTTGTCAAACCAGTAAATTGGTATCAAACTATTACGATAAAAGCTAGGAAAACAAAACATTTTTAAATAACTATAAATTAAAAGATTCAAAATATTTTGAAAACTATACCATCTAGAATGAAGGGTGATAATAGCATTCAGTAAACATTTCAAGTTGCGTTTCCACGAAAAAATTTAATCGAATTTATTAAAACTGGTATATCATAAATTTTAATGTGTTTTTTTTAGTGATTGTCAATTTTATGCAATATTAAGAAAACTGTTTGAAATATCGTAAAATGACTCCTTCAAAATAACAACTATATAATATTTTCTATTAAAAGCTTCATATAATTGTGATGATCACAAAAATTGTTCAGGTGATAATCGTGTACACCTATGAAAAATAAAAAACAACATGTTTGTTAAAACCAAAACAATACTAATTTTTCTCAGAACCTAAAAAAATTGAAATTTACAATCAACCTCTATTTATCAAATTGTTTACATTGTCTACCAAAAATACGACAGATTAACACTATTTTCTTTATTGGTACTATTATTTTTAATTTTTATCACAATATAATATTTTATTAGTCATGCCTGGGACTATTTACTTATACTCTTACATTTACAGCGAATTCAAGAGCTAGTCAAAATATTTTGATAAAATCCGTATTTTTTTCTCCGTGTGAAATAAAGTTTTAATATAACTAAGCACAACTAATACATTTTTCTAAGTTCAGACGGTTAACTCTCAATGACGAAAACGCTTTATTTTCTATCAAGAAAATAAACATTAAAAATTGATAGTTATAACTGACTTAAACGTTTTTAAATCATATTTCATTTCTAATTTATTTGATTTCTGATTTAAAATTCTTGTGGGCTGATTCAATTGATATTTATAATACAAATGTATCTTATGACTAACTTAATTTTAATGTGATACATATATGTAGGAATAGTAATTTTCAGCTAATGTAAAAATTTTATATTAATTACTAGTCATATACATAATATATACTAATCGTATATTCTTGTTTATTTTAGAATCAAAAGAATATATCATGCATACATATATTATTTTTTAAAAACAATATTAAAATATTATAAAATATTTACAAGTTTGATATTGACAACCAATACTGTAGTTTTAAGACCATAATCTAGACTTGTGTCTATCAATAAATCCGGACACATTTTTGAACTATAGAATTACACATTTACACATTAAACAAATATTGTATATTGCCTTAATAATAATATAATAGTTATAAAAATAAAAATAATTTATATTACAATAATTATTATAGTTTGTATTTTACCGTAAAAATTAATTAGGATTTAAATAAAATACTAAAATATACTGTCTGCGAGGGATTTTGATCCGCCATCTCTACTCAGATAAAAATTCTAAGATTTTATATTTATAATTTAGATCTAGCATAAATTTAAAAATGTTCAAAAATCATTAAATATTTAAAAAAATGAAGATATCATACTTTGTTGGGAAATTATTGTTTTATTTGTATTCTATTAAATATTCATTTTAAATAATTATACAGGATACCACATAGGATCATTTTAGATTAAATATTAATAATATTACAAAAACTAATGTTTAATAATTATTATAATAATAATAAATGTATTAGTAAGCCAAAATACTATTCTCGTACTTTATTCATACTTGTATATAAAATTTTTAAATAGATTAAACTTAATAAAATCACAAAAAGAATAAATGTATTGTGAATTATAACATTTAATCTTCAACCAATGCGACAGTATAATATTTTATGATCGAAAAAAATTTATATTTGCATTATGAATACCTGCATTTTCACAATGTTACAGAATCCTTGATAAATGCGATGCAGACACATAATCGGATAATATGATAAAAAATCAGTAATAAGTAGTAACATGTTTTAGTATAGCTTGAATTCTGATATATTTTTCCATATTAATTTTTAGAGTTATCAATAACAACTATCTTGTATATAGCATGGGTATTAAAAATTGTTTGGATTGTAATTACATGTTTAACTTTTTCAATCATGTTACATGATAACGAATTTTAAACATATCGGTAAGATTCAAAATATCTATACAAAGAACAGATTCATATTGAAATTATAAGCATAACTTACTAAGTCTTCCAATAGATATATTCAAAGTTAACTAAATTCATATTTAATTTGGTTAAAATAATCAACTATAATTATCTAATTTATTACCTATTGACATTAGACAAGAATCAAGTATGAATAAATTTATATGTATGAATCTATCAGGATAATTTTTCTAAAAATCGTAATTTTGGAATATTTAATAAGCAAGTTAAAAATATGTTTTTATGATTTGCATGTTTTATCCAATTTATGAGACTTTATTTTCTTCATTTGAAACGGTTAATAGAATAATATTCGTGAATCATAATTTTTCACCTGCTCATTATATAACTATTCTATTCATTAAAGTGAACTTTACCTTATAAAATATAGTACGGTCCATTGATAAATATTTATTTTTTTTTAACAAGTCCGATAAGACTTTTGAACTTTGAACGCTATTCGGAGAAATACTACATATTTAACTACGTGTAAGTTACGTACAAGAGAAAAGTGAACTAAATACAAAATTATAAATTTTAATAAAATAATACATATTTGTAACGTCCTCAGTAATATGTAATATAATATTTTTGCATTGTATTAAAGATTGAATCTATATATAAAATATGTAAATAATATATTTAATATATAGTAATATAATATATACAATAGATAGATTAGAGGTTCTTAATCTTTTTTGAGCCATGGACCACTTTAAAATACAAAGTATAGTCACGCACTCCTCACCCCTTCATAAAAAAAAAACATTGATTTTGGTTGAAATTCAATATTTTTTAGTAATTTTAAAAGGTAATACTATAATTATGTCTATTCTCTATCTAGAAATATACATATTTTTATTCATTTAATGCATTTGTTATCAATTATATAGCATTATTATTTTTGAGATTTTCTGTGTATTTAACCATTAAAATAACATCTTAAAAAAACTTATAATTGAGGAATTGAAAATTGTCTAGTCTTTTGAAATAACCTCGAGATATATTGTACTAAGTGGATATTAATTATTTTTTTAATGTATAACGAAAATCGACTTTACCTATATGTCATGCATTTTTAATGGTATTGTCTTACTATATGTTCTTTACCATAATTCCTAATTTGTACTGATAATATTAGCTTTACATTTTATTTAAAACATTTTATGAAATAAACAATAATCTTTCAAACATCTCAAGTATTTTAAAATCATTACTAAAACAAACTACAAATATAATTTATATATAGTTAGTTTTTAATTAAATTTGCCTATTTTTATTAATTTAAGAATAACAATCAAACTAACGATTTTTATTTGTGATATTATAAATTTTTTATAGTTACTAAAAATTAAATAATAACTCATATTTATTCAATTTTAATTGTGATTTAAAAAAAAATTTTAAATATACATGTTCGACGTTTGTATTATGTTCACTATAGTTTCTGGTATATTTAATATAAACTATGTAAATAATAGATAGTATATAAATCCAGTCAATTTTATTGTTTTCAATATACTATATACATAATATAATGAGAATAAATCGGTTTGATATATATAAATTTATGTATTGTAATTAATGAAATATTAACGGTGAAGAATATAATATTGATTATATATGTATAGAATATTACTATAATAATTTTGAGAGTGATCTGTACTACTTATAAAATAAGTTTAGGTAATAATTTATTGATGATGATATTTATTACATCATTGTTTTATTATAAAATTCAACAAAAGCAATACAGTATGAATTGTTTAATATTTTTTTTTTTTTTTTTGACAAAGGTCAATCTGTAGTCTACATTTTAATCTATTATGTATATGATAAATAATTAAAAGTAAAAAAAACTTGTAATGTTTATATTTTTCGTGTACTAATGTCTAATAGCATATTTTATCTATATAATTTTATGATTCCATATCAAGATTGTTATAGAAGGAGAAAAACGTAATAAAATCATGTACGGCTGAGTATTTGACTTCACATTCTCTTCTGAACGCTATAATTTGATACAAGTTTCTTCGCATAAATTTAATTGACAATATGTTTACGAAAACCTTTTTGTTCGTTTTACTAGCAACATTGTCCATGTCGTTAGCTAAGGTAAGACAATTATAAATTATTATATAACTATATCATCGATAAAAAACAAATTATTTTAATATAAAAATATCAATGGTTAAGATGAATATTTAGGGTATTACTTAATGTGTAGTTTCAGGATGATCAACATGAATTGGTCAACCAAATCCTTAGTACAGGAACAGTACTCACGAAAGAGTTTTCCAAACTGGTTGCAGATAGCCCAGACAAACTTTCCGTAGACTTCAACAATTTGTACAAAAAGTTAGAAGTTGATGCAAAAGCTGAACAAGCTAAGAGTTTTTTGCAAACTCAGGTAAATATAATAAATAAAATGATATATAAATCCATGACAATTATTAAAAATTTATCATGTTTTAATTTTCTTTTCTTTTTGAAAATTACGTATATATATATATATATAAATATTACGTACTTTTATATCCGAACAATAAATAGAACTATAAATCTAGAAGTTTAAACTTAAATATGAGTATATGAATTATAAAGTCCTGGTACAGATTTATTCCAATAAAAGGTTATTTTTTCAACTGTACTAAAATAATAATTAAATAATTTTTATAAAATTATTTAAAATTACATGTTACTTTTTTAAAAAGTTCCTTTTGGTATTATTATATAAAGGTCAACAAAATATGAATTATTTACTTATAAGTAATATTTTAATAAGGTTACAATAATTTATTTAATCAGATAAAAAGTTGACTAATATGATCTTTTTATATCATAATTGAACTCTACACATTTTAAGCCTTTAAAAAAAAAAATTATAATCTACACGTAGATTCTATAAAAAGGTTTTTTTATAATTTTAACTAGAATACTAATGTACATTAATAAATATTTTTTTAATTAACTTACTTTATCTATTTCAAAGGTAACTTGAACTAACACGTGTTTTTAAACATTTTTATGGGTTTTTAGGTATTAAAAATATATCAATATATAACAATAATTATATGAAATTTGAAAAATGTTTGTAATAGGTACTCTAATTAAAGTATTATAGTTTTGACTAATCAAAATTTGAACATCAAAATAAAATAAAAATATTATACCTTACTCTCTTTTCACTAGCCATGAGAATAACTAGATAATTAGTATTTACTTCAAATAAAGATAATTAAATGAGTAATATTACTAATAACCGAGTTTTTTTTTTTTTTGTTGATTTTTTTCAATTACTCAATGATGAATTTTTAATTCTAAACAAATCATACTCAATCATATCATAATATTCCAGGCTACGTATTCATTTATTTCTAAATATATATAATTTATTTGTATAATAATTTATGAGTATAAATAACTTGGCTAATTTTTGTTTTATTTTAACATATTATTAATAATTATCATTATCTGATAATTTATTTATAATTTATATCATAAAATAAAAAATAAAGTATAGTTCTTTAAAAATACTAATTTCTATTATCCTAGTACTGTAAATAATAGAGAACTTTTTAAATTATTTATATATTTCCGTTCTATTATTTTATTATTTTATCGTTTGACTATTCATAAATAATTCTATTCGATTATTTTATTTTTCTAATGGTTTCGAATGAATTTGATTATTCCGATAATTAGTTTACACCTCTGCTATGATCAAAAAGGAACAAAGAAAATTCTTCCATATTACCATGACCTATTCTTTATTTCTTTCCTATCATACAGTGAGCGTGCCGAGATTTTTTCTATTTGATCCTCAAAATTCATTCTCCATCACTTAAAAATTTTAAAAGTCCTGTTCACACAACTCATTTTTAATTTGTTGTATACTAACCGCTCTTTTTCTATCTCTTTGAAAATTAAATTATTTTCCATTTTATACGAATAGCAAATAGGAACGCATATTTTTCATTATAATCAAATCATGTATGTATTAACAGTGCATATTATATTGTACATTCGATTATTATTATTTTGAAATAATATTATATTAATTTAAAATGTAATAAAACTTATAAGTTGTACAAAAAATGTACTAAATATATTGATTATTTGCGTAAATAATTATGACGTATACAATACAGTTCAACAATTTAATTTTTATTATATAATTTGTATTCGTTATGATTTTCCATTCTTAAAACTTCCTCAAAATTAAATGAAAAAATATTTTTAATCATTTACCAAAATGTTTATAAAAAAAAAAGATTAAGATTTTTAAACTTTAGAGTCTCTAATGAAAATATATATTTATTTTATTTAGCTACAAAAATTTTGTACAGTTAGTTTTCATTAAATATAAAAAAAAATTTAAAACTCTTCAGAACATATTAATGCTAGATGTATAAACAATAGCTGTATTTAATATTTATCGTTAAAAAATATTTATATACTAATGTTGTATTTTAAAAAAGCAGCTGAATCCTACAACGAATCTTTGAAGAAAACTGATGCCATGTCCCAAGAAAACTTAAAGAAAACTATTGATATCATTAAAAAAGAAGACCCAATCTTAGGAGAGAAATTATACAAGTTCTACGAGAAAACATGTGAAATGGACAAAATATCCGAGGACATTGTTAAGTACATATTGGACGTAGACAAAATTACTGGTGCATTAGATAAGTATAGGTCAAGCATTAGCCCGTTTATCCATAAAGCGACCGAAGGAATAAAAAAGTTCGAGGTGAGTTCTTTTATAGATCTTATTACACTTTTAACATAGTAATTTTGCGAATCTAAAATAATTGAATTAATATAACAATAATTAATTGTTTAATATATGATATAATTTCAGACTTTTGTAGTTGAACATATACCAAAGAAGGACAAATAAGAACGTTTCCACCAATTATTTCAACTTTCAAAAACCATCTATGTACATTGTACCAACAGATGTATAATTAATATTAATGTTCTTTAGGAATTTTTTTACAATATTTATGTGTATTACAACTACTTCACTGTTCAATTAAACTATTATCATACATTTATAATATGCCATAAAATAAACATAGTTTTAGTTTTTATAAAGCATTATCCTTTAAATTGATCATAAAATAAGTTACAATTGCTTATAATTCATATTAAATAGATAAATACTGGTATTCATAAATAATTACCCTAAAAAGTTTAAATCGTTAGCAATTGGTTATAAAATGTAAGGTAAATAATGTAAAGTAATTCGTTTCATTAATAAATTTCGTTGTCATTAAATTCTTGCAATACTTTAATAAATAACTAATGTACTTCTCCTAAGAGTATGAAAAATATGGAGTATTCAAAAAGAGTGAACTTTTTAAGAAAAAGTTCACTTATTATGTTGCACTTTTACAAAGCTTTAATGAATCTCAAATAAAAACCCTCAATTACCGTTGTTAAATAGTGACTTACAATTTGTTTTTTTTTTACATAATACGTAATTATTAATAAACGACATCTTTTAAACTAACAGTGTATAAGTTACACATGGAATAAAGATTTTGATAGTCAAATAATTGTATTGATGTATTTAAGCTGTCTATACATGACGCCGTCTTCAAACAATTTATATAATTAAATCATACTCTGGTTCTGGTGCGTTTGTTATTTTATATAAAATCGGAATCATTGTAAACTATTATAATACTATTGTACGATTATAAACTATATAAACTTATTTTGATACACTAAAAATCAAATAATTAATAATATCAAAGTTAAAGAGCTGGTTTTTTTTAATACCAAAGCAGGTTGTGTACGCATTTAAATTTAGGTTTTTCATGGATCTATGACAAACTATAGTGTGTTTGTGTAAACGTATAAAATTAATTATCATCAATATTCATACAATAAATGTATTACTTGGTGATCATCAAAATTTGAATATCATTAATCTGTCGTAGTATCGAAATTTACTATTTATTATTTATTATTCATTCATAATATTATGATATGTGAAAATAAAGGTACAATAATATTAAACGACATATTATGTCATAGAGTTAATAATTGATCTATTTTATGTCACTCTACAATATTTATTGTATCAATTTTAGTTCACAACTATTGCTAATTTTGATCACCTCAAAAAAATTTTAAGTTATGGCATGATAAATATAGCCCAATCATGTATCACAACGCACCTGTATAATATAATTAATCGTTATTGATATGCATAATTTGATCAAATACAGTATCTATATTTAATTTACATTGAATCGGTTGTTGCGTGATCTTAGATTGCTGGTCGCGATCACGCAACGGAAAACGTACGTTAATAAACGCTTGGGAAGTGCGCCGGGAAAAACACCGCGCAGGGGCGGGTTTTTCACTCACCAAGAGAAGGGCTAATGGAGGTTCAAAAATTTAGTTAGTTGCTTTTTAAATCTCTGTGTAATTTTAAATTACAGAATATGTTTTTGAATCCCTCATGAGTAAGTCATTTTTTTCACAACACTAACAAATTTTAAATAGTTACATTATTGGTATCGATTTTAATTTGAAACTATTTTAAAAATATAGGTATACATATATCGACTGGTAAAAGGCAAAAGGGGCTAAGCGACATGTATATATACGTACACGTGTATACTACGGGATAACCGACAGTTTTCGATCACGCTAACGATAGTGTTACTCTGACCATTTAGTGATGAGATTAAGTAAGTACAAGAATTTAGATTTTTTGGGACAAGTGACACAATTGTTATAAAAATAGGGGACAAGCGCCTTTTTTAAGGGTATAAGTGACACTGTTGAAAGTTGTGGAATTATCGCTTATCAAATTTTATAATAATAAATATAATTTTTATATTGATATAAGTGATAACAAAAGTAAAGTTGTTAACTAGGTGTACGGAATTATGTTTCACAACTATTTACTGCATAAAAGTTTTCTGAACAATCTTATAAGGAAAGGTAAATACAAAATTATTATTATTAACTTTTAATTAATTCTAGTGTAGTTAAGTTTATTCGTACATTTTAGGTACCTACCTATTTGCTATTTCACCCAGAGATTTATTTCAAGTTTTTGTAGCCCAGGGCTTATAATTTTTGCCCCCCCCCCCCCCCCATCCTTACAATATTATAGTGAGTTTTAGTTGAATTCGTTATGATAAAAAATGTAGTTAATATTTCAATGTAATTAGTGTCAGACCATCAAGGTAACATGTAATAGAACCGAAATATATAATAACCGTATACCTAATGCTTAAATAAATTTTGTTTTTGCTCTCCTGAAAAATAGTAAAATTGTCGCTTAGACCCTTTTGCCTGTTTCCAGCCGATATAATTAACAACGAAAATAAGTTATTTATTTATAAAAAATATATATAAAATAGGTACCACCATATTCATCAATGACAATTGACGATATTTTACAGTAATTATTTATATATCAATACATCGTAATACTTGGCTTTGTAAAATAGTTGACTTAGCCGCGAAGGGGGAGGCTAATTCCCCTTTAGCCACCCCATTAAACCCGCTCCTGGCTCCGCGGGATCTCGCACCTTAAAGGTGAGTTTACATGAGACGTGAGCCACGATCGTGACTTGTGGAATCGTAGTTCACGCTCTGTGTAAACAGACAATTCGTAATTCACGATCGTGGTATTGTCATTCACGAACCTGTCACGATTGGTTCGTACTTTATCAACCCATGTTAGATATTTCAGTCGTAAAAGCTCAGTCATGGGTACAATAGAATACATATTTGTTTGTAAAATATTAACTGTTACATATAATATGTATATTACTATTATATGTTATACATAGGTAAATATAATAGATTTTTAAATTAAATTATTATGCTATTTTTTTAGCGTTGTTGTATTAAATTTTTGTATCTTAAATTGAATTTTATTTGATAAAAAGTCTAAGTATGTATCTGACATTCTAAAAATGTTTTTTAAATCTTCCGGATTTCAATTTGGTAATTTACGGTAAATAAACGCAAGGGCGTATGTGTGTTGAAGCCATGGGAGGGGCAAAACTAATTTTTCTTCAATACAAACTTAAAAATAATTTACAGTTCATTACCTACAGCTCATGTTTCTGTTACAATGATATCATATAATGATAGACTAGTAATTTATATTCTTAATTATTTATACATTACATTTTTTGAGTAAATCAGTGTATTATATTCAACAAAAATACGAGCCATAGGGGGGGGGACGAATGCCCCCTTCGCCCTCCCCGCCCTCGAATACGACGTTGAATAAACGTAGAGCCACCATTATTATTCCGTACTTGAATCCACTGCCTTGCCCACCATCTTTTCCTTCTTATTTTAACTTCAATTTGTAAATTTCTGTTAATCGTTTTTTTAGCCGTTTAACACATGGTTCCGCCACTAACGATTCCATCTAACTGAGCGATAATTGCGTTCACGAGAGAACACCTTCACGATTCGTATGATGCTTTTCGAAACCACAATCGTGAGCCACAACTCACAAGATCGTGAAACACGATCGTGGCTTACGTCTCGTGTATACCCTCCTTGCTCGCTAGTAAATACGCAGACGTATTTTGCGGAGAACAAACGGACCGTGTATTCCAACATAGTACCGTTTGTACGATTCGACTCATAACACCACGTTGTCCGCCGTCACGGCAGAAAAACGGTGGTTTCGGCGAGACGCACGTTTTCGAATAAAAGAGACATTTCGTGACAACTGTACGGGCCAGCCTGGCGCTTCGCGCTTGCGCATGATCGACGCGGTTATATAGTTAGCGTTCGGCGTGTAAACATCCGATAATTTCACGTACTCTTTTTTTTTTTTTTTGCTCCACTACCTACGTGATATGTACGTTGTTTGGCCCTTAATCTGTTTTCCGTATTTTTAATTTTTTTTCGCCGCACCAGTGTCCGTGCCCCTGGGTCCCGTGTTCGCGAGATCCCGATCGTCGACAATCAGCCCGCGTCGTCCCAACTGCTGAATCGATCGGTCAACACAGCATCATTCGCACTAGTCGCCGTGCGATACTTTTGCCATAGTCGACCACACAGCCGTACGACCGTAATGACATGTTGCAACTGAGCTGAAACTGTCGGCCGCCGAAAGGTACAGACGTTCTACCGGAGCCCGTTTAGATTTTATGGGTGAGTGTCCGTTGCGCGGCATTGTTGTTGTACGCGCGCAAATAGTAGCGCCTAGTTTTGATTTGACGCTGTCCATCAGGTGTGTGCGAAAAAACCGGTCTAGAATAGTGCGATCGCTCAACCACCTTTGTACCAAATGTCCAAAATGTACGATTCCAACAGCGATTTGGATCGGCAGATTGAACAGCTGAAACGGTGCGAAATCATCCAGGAGTACGAAGTGAAGGCCCTGTGCGCCAAGGCACGTGAAATACTCATCGAAGAGAGTAATGTGCAACGTGTTGACTCTCCTGTCACGGTAAGCATTATTTTTTAGTATAGATAATAAATCCTGTAGATCAATATTTTATGTACCACAGACAAAACATGTTTTCTCTTTTTTCATTCAAACAATGCGATTTCGACAATTGTATAACTAAAACATTTTTAATGGCTTCTGTTTCAGGTATGTGGAGATATTCATGGCCAGTTCTATGACCTAAAAGAATTGTTTAAAGTCGGTGGCGATGTTCCTGAAAGAAATTATCTATTTATGGGTGATTTTGTTGACCGAGGATTCTTCAGTGTTGAAACATTTTTACTGCTACTTGCTTTAAAAGTATATATAAACATTTTTATCATGACTTATTCACTTTTAACCTGTACTAATCATTTAACAAACCATTAGTAATTCATAAGAAAAAAACTTCTCAACAAGTTTTTTAAATGTTTTGCTTGCATTCGTTTAATACTAAGATGAATCTAAAAAGAAAATATTTAAACCTATATTTAAGTACAATTTCAGAAGTGATAACATCACAATAAAATTATTTTGAATTCTTGCATAACTAAAAAAAAAATTTGCTAAAACATTTTTTTTTATTTTTATGTATAATATATATAAGTCGCTAAAATATGATTCTTCGCTGTAATTGATTTCCATGAATTCATCTTTATAAATCTTTTTTGGGTATTTATCAATTATATTAGTTAAAAATTTACTATAATCAGTTTGTAGGTTGGTAAATTAATAGTATTTTAGAAACATTTAGTTGATAAAACTTTAAAACACCATATTGTATTCATGTCAGGTTTTTTATAAAGTTTAACAATGTAACAGGATGTATTCTAGTGAATAGAGTATTCATAGTTTTTACAAGTTTTAAAATATAATAACTTCATCAAAAACTTAATATGTAAATGGTAGTTTTTAGAACTTTAAAATAAAGTAGTATTTATTATTTAATAATACATTTATTGTAATAGCTAGTCTTATTAATTTGAATATTAAGTTTTTTAAATGGGTCTTATGATTCTGAAATTTTTCTAAATTTTTGATGTTTTTAATTTAAAAAAATATATGCCAGCATTTATCAATAATGTTAGAGATCTTATACTTTAGTTGACAATTCAATTTTTTCATCACTTTTGAAAATATCCAAAAATAAAAAATTTGATTAGCAATAGTATAATTTGTGCTCAATTTCTGATTTTGTTATAAAACTTGTTTATTCTCTCTTGAGAATTATTGATATAATTATTAAATTATATTATATTTTTTTACTCATTATATCAACGCTAAATGATTCTTTGATATTATATAGTTTATACAATAATCCTAACTGCATGTGTACAAACAAATCCGAATTAAAAATAAATCTAATTAACTATTATTTTTTATTATAATTAAATTCAAATTAGATATAACTATTAAAAGATTATCCAATCAAATTTTAATTTATTTTTGAATATATCAAGAATTATTAAAAATAAAAACTTATTCAATATTATTTGTTTAAATTGCATTGAAATATATATTTTATTATTTTATTTTTAATTGCATATTAAACAATTTTTATAGGTAAGATATCCTGATCGAATAACTTTAATACGAGGTAATCATGAATCACGACAAATTACTCAAGTTTATGGTTTTTATGATGAGTGCTTACGAAAATATAATAGTGTTGCTGTATGGCGTTATTGTACTGAAATATTTGATTACCTGAGCTTATCTGCTATTATTGATGGAAAAGTAAGTTCATTAATTTAAATTATTTAATATTATAATAATTTTATTTTTGAATTTAATAGATTTTCTGTGTGCATGGTGGTTTGTCTCCTTCTATTCAAACATTGGATCAAATTAGAACTATTGATAGAAAACAGGAAGTTCCTCATGATGGACCTATGTGTGATTTATTATGGTCTGATCCTGAAAGTAAGCATCTTAAACTGCCATTTATTTTGAGAAATTATGAATTTTTGTATTTATTTTAGACACTCAGGGTTGGGGTGTAAGTCCACGAGGTGCTGGATACCTATTTGGTTCAGATGTTGTTTCCCAATTTAATACTACAAATGATATAGATATTATTTGTCGAGCTCATCAGCTAGTCATGGAAGGATATAAATGGCATTTTGATGAAACTGTGCTTACTGTTTGGTCTGCACCCAATTATTGTTATCGGTAAATACTATACTAGAGCAGAAAACATAAGTATGGGCTTGTACTAATTATTTTATTTGTAAAATTATGCTTAGATGTGGTAATGTTGCGGCAATATTGGAACTGAGCGAAACACTCCAAAGAGATTTCACAATTTTTGAAGCAGCTCCACAAGAAAACCGTGGAATGCCTACTAAAAAACATGCAGCTGATTATTTCCTTTAATAAAATTCTGTGGTTCTTAATGTATTAATTTTAGTTCACAAAGCCTTACAGAAGAAATGAATGTTTCACACATTTGTTGCATTCATTGTATTTGAAAGAATACTGACAATATATTTATGTAATTTTTTTAAAAGTAAAAATACATTTTTGTAATTTTTGTTTTAATCAAGTTACCTAAACATTTTCTATTTATAAATACTTTCCATGGATGGATAGATACATATACTATTGTAATAAACATTAATGACATGTTGAACAAAAATTTTTTATAGTTTCTTAAATAAATAGTTTTAACTAAATGTACTTATGAACTAAAATACTTTTAGGTAATTAATGGTATAATTATTAATGGTATATGCTCTTAAGTCAAATTGATTGTTTCATTGAGTGATTAATTTGATTATTAAACATTGAAATTTACTTGAAGTTACTTAACAACGCTATGGTATTACATTGATATGGAAATAAAATATGTTACATGTTTCTTATCAGAGATCAATAGTTAAAAATATTAAGATATTGGTGTGTTTTTTCCTGTTGGAATTACATCATGGGAAAGTTATTAAATTTTAACTTAAGTTTATAAAAAAAAATTGTGGTTTTTAATGTTTCAAAATATAACTGAACTTAATAATTTAATGTTAACACTGTAACTGTTCGGAAACTATGTTGGAACATTCATTTGTAGCTAAATTTCTTCTTCATCCTCATCATTTTCATCATAATCATCTCCTGGTTCTCCTAAGGCATTGACGAATTCTAAAAAATAAAAAAAATAAATGTATATTTAATGAATAATAAAAACGAATCAAAAATTTTCAATCAATATTATTATGTTAAAATCAATTTTTTTAAAAAAAAAATCAAACTTAACATCTCAAACATTTTATTAATATTGTTTTGAAAAACTGATCTGCGTAAACATGATGTTAAATTATTTTTATTTACATTAAGATAATAATTCGGTACTAAAAAAAATATATTTAATCCAATGTCAGTTCAAATGTAAGTACTTAAATTTTACAAGAATGCTAAAACATATTTTAATTATGTCTAATATTGTTTTTTATTATTTTTTTTATTATAATTAAAAATTATTTTAGTGTTGATTTTAAAATGAATAGATAATAATAAGTTATACTACTTTTACATAGGATAAAAAGCATTTTTAAGAGAAGTAAATTACAAGATATAAACATGCAGAACTCCATTTATTCTTTATTTGCATTTCATCCCTGCAATATTAAACGAATAGTTTGCCTAAAATTTTTATATTAATGATTGGAAAATACATTAATTTCATGTACATGTATAAGTATGTTCCACTTGTATATATTTATACATAAATGGTGTACAATAGTGTTAGGACTCGACATATTTATCAGCAATTATTTTTATGTGATATAAAAGTTTTTTAGAGTACTCAGACATCTTGTATTATACAGAATTTTCCTATCATTGAGTTGATTTTGTTCCGGTATTGAACACAGGAGTGTCCTGACAATTACAACATTGAAGAATAAAAAATACACTTTTTATTTTACTCAAAGTTATTGTTTTATTTTAATTACACGAGTACACAATTGTTACTTTTGTTGGTGATATTTTATTCGATTGAGGCTCTACAATTATAATTTTAATTTTTCTAGAAATAACAGTTTAAGCGATTAAAATAAATCAACATTAAACAATTAAGCTCAACGAATTTATGATAAATTTCCAAACAAGATTATAGGACTGTAAAGGTACCTACTAATATGTTGAAGATTTATATTATTGATATTTTAAAATTTGTGTTCATTATCAAAAACAGAGTATATGCACCATATTTAATTATTAATAAGGACATTAGGTAGATACATACATTGTATATAACAGATAGATGAAAGAATCTTATTACTCCTATATTATAACTATTATGATAGGTAACTGTATAGTTAATTTTATCTTATCAAATATTTAATTATACTTAAATTTGATAGAATGTCTATTATTATTATAGTTATTATGCATTATAAATCGTTCCAAGATGATCAGTAATTTGAGAAATATTGGAATACAATATCAGAACATGTGAAATTCATATGCCGATTTTTATTCATTTTCGGAAATTGTCAGTAGGTACTTCACAAAAAGCATTAATCCAATTATTTTGATTTATTTGAATGTTGTTTTACAGACGTTTTCAACGATAATTTAGATAGTATTAAGTATAATTTAATTGACCGATCACTAATTATCAGTCGTTCTATTCTCTTGCAGTCCATAAATGTACACCGGGGTGTTATTGCAGTGCCAGGACCTTACATACATCAGGGGACACGCTTTCTAGTTAAATGGTTACCATCGATAGTTTTCATGCCAAAATAATAATCTGTGTGGGTTTTAACGCTCAAAATCGTGCGCACATTAGTAATTCAGGGAACTCAACTAGTTTAGGCCGTGATGCAATGTACAGAGCACGTTTTTTACCGAAGATTATTATTTTGTTTTCGACGACAGATTTTAGAATACGGGTGAATGTTGTATTAAAAACACATCGAATGTATGTAGGTGTCCACATATTTTTTAACCTGTTCCGTTTGATTCGCTACCGAATGAATAAAAATAAAAAAATGAGCGCTATTCCAAAATAAACGGCAAACGCATGTTAGCGAAACGTTTTCGCACGAACTCGAAAAATTCACGGTTGGTGTAGAACAAAATAAAACCGAGTGCGCAGACGGATATTTCATTATTGTTTATTTGTTAGGAACGAAAATGAAAAACAATTTGCCTGCGAGGGACAGCGCTAACGTGTTGTGTGCAATAAAATGCATCGGCGCGACACCGTTAAAAAGGATGAAATCAGTGGTGATTAAAAAAACGGATTAAACTTGGTTTATTGCTCGGCGGGTATTGGCGGAACGGCATTCGGTTTAGTGCCGAAAAACGATAAAAAATAAAATGAAATCGTGATGAAATGACGATAGACGTACATTGGACGTGATAAAATACTGAACGCGACGAATACGTTACGTACAAGTAAATGCTATTTAAAAATATTACCTCCCCCCGCACATTTTTTTTTATGTAATTTTTTTTTTTTTTAAATCGAAGTATATTCGTGATGTGTGTATTTCTTAGAATATAAATTTCAAACTAAAAAAGCGTATTATTATTATTGCTATCGTTCGATTTATTGTTGGACGAATCGAAAACAATATTACCACAACTTGCAATATTTAGGTACACACGTGTCACGTACGCACGTTCGAAGTGAATAGAAATATTGAATTCAGGCAAGAAAAAAAAAGTTATGACTAGCGAGTTTATCTTTACCAAAATAAATGCTATTATTATCATAAATCGAGTCATAAGGTGGTTGGAATAGGTTAAACGTTTTTTTATTTTATTATACATTGTGTTTGTAGGTAGCAAGATTATTTAACAACCATAAATATAGTTTCTATGTCTTATCTGATTGTCGCAAAAAACGTACATTTTGATATTTTATTTTTAAATAGTTGCGTTTAAATTTAATTTTCAGTGATTATTGTCTGCTTCAGAAATGCATGTTAGTTATGAAGTACTCGGCTCACACAAAAACATGATGATACTGTAGTGATATTCATTACGAATTATACGACATTACTTACTGTTTAGTTAAACGCCGTAGGCGATTTGAGTCCGCGTATATAGAAAGAGTTTCTCGAGTCTCTCTCCAGTAAGAATAAAAAAACTAAGTATTATTATTTAGATAAAAGCTTTCTGTACAAGGAACCGATGAGTATAAACTATCAGCATTTAATCAATATTATTTACGTAATACTATATATCACATATTACACATACGAGATTACAGGCGAAACAATACAAAAAATAAAATTAATGTATTGAGAGTTCTAATTTGACGTTTGTTATACGGTTATTTTAAGATCCCTATAATATAACAGTTATACGTCAGTAAAGCAAATAGTCTGCGTTTCTCGTGTACTTACCGTTAAAATCGATTCTTCCGTCGCCGTCCACGTCCACTTCCTTAATCATGTCTTCGACTAGAGCAAATCAAATAAGAATAAATGACGTTTGAACAAAATGTACATAACAACACATTGCTCGACATTAAATCGCATATTTACTTTCTTCTTCAGACAAATCTTCACCCAAACATTGGAGAACCGCTCTCAAGTCCGATGCACTTATGTATCCCCTATTGTGTTTGTCGAACACCTATAATAATATTTCCCTTCAAATACATTTCATCAACACAAATGATACGAGGTTTTACATTATATATATATATATATATATATATATTTGTATAAAGAAATATATTTTAAAAAGTTTACATTACTTATACAATGATTATTATTGATTGTTATCATATATCTGTACCTCATAACCCGACGAACGTAAGTCCAAAAATAAAGATTTACAGATGATTAAATTTTTTTGCAAGAAATATATTTTTCATCGAGCCATAATAACGGAAGTTTGTTAAAAATACTCATTTAATTTCGGTTATTACTCATTAATTCAAAATTTAAACTTTGTAGGCAGGCAACATTCTATTTTTTTTTCAGTTTTTTTGCTGTCATGAAATGTTAGCATAATGTGACTTGCGTTGGTCTGGTTCTGAGGAACAGATATACTGCTGATGCCGTTGTGTGGTAATAACATACCACACAATTATTAATTAGACCAAAATCATTTTCATCATTGACAAAACAAATGCGTAAGTACAACACGACCCAAATGCAGTTCTGTCTAACAATCTTATAAGGTAGTAATGAAACGAACAAAATACATGAATCCAGCTAACGATTGCAATTTAAGCTGTAAATCATCAATTTATAAACACAAATTTTACGTGCAAAACAACAATTGTCTTACAAAATAGGAAATTTCTGAAATGTGTTGCGCGCATAACGTGTAGTTTCATAAATATTTTGAACTTTGAGTCGCTATATTTCTGACGTAACCACGTAACACTCTTGATTAACATAGGTTATCGTAAGTAGTAAGTAATTCTCATCAATATCACACCACATGTAAGCCACACATATTATTCGTAGCTATATATTGTTTTTTTTTTAATTTTCGTTATGGTGATTATCGTGTGTATTTGTTATTGCTTTAATCGGACTTATTTGTTTCCACTTCCTGTTGTTATTTCGCTTATCTAAGTTTATTAAACCATTTAATTTCCCAACAATTATATTATAATTATGTATAAATATATAACTGCTCTAAAGAAAAACGTATTACTACACTGCGACCGACTTAAATTTGCTTAATTGTCACCTACTCATACTAACACATAATATTAGGTAAATTATTAATATTTATTCCTACAAAAGCCTTGTGTTCCATGTCGTGTTTTTGAAACATAAATAATACACTAACTACAGTACACTTTTTCGTAATAAGCAATTCGTAAGCTGTTTATGTGCTATTCAAATTGGTTTTTATTTACTATTCATTCATATTTTTTATTTCAACTAATACTGCTGAATCCAAAAGAATTTTGTAAAAACATTAATTTATCCTACTGATTAATGAATTGACTTCTTTTTATACTCCTGTAGAACTCGAATACAAAACTTTTAGCTTATGATATAAAAAAATCATTATACGATAAACGCTCTGAACAAAAATATATAAGCTCTTGCTCTTATTCTAAATGGACATTATATAATTTTAAAAGTTTTAATACAACTGTTTGTTAATATACATAATGGGAATTTAGGGAAAACTTAATGTTATTTTGGATAAAGTTTATATTTAATATACTTCTTTTCACCATTATACATGTAAATATCAGAAAGTTTTAGTATTCTGCAAACCTTATATATATATATATATATATATATATATAATTGCTTTTAAAGCGATTTAAAATGAAAAATGTTTTTTCCTATCTAACTTTATAGTCGATGTTCAGCTAAAACAACTAGCCATATTACATGTGAGCAATTGAAATTGCGAAGTTGTGTTTAAAATAATTTTCCATACTACACGTTTTACAATTTTAATTTATATTCTAACATGAACTATTATTTTTAACAGTTAATCAATTTTACTTTTTGCTTATACCTACTATCAATTTTTTTTTAGTCTTTGATTTGTTTTCATTGTTTATTTGTAAAACGTGAAGATTTTTTTCCAACCAGATTTTTAATATATACATCCGTTCTATGATATAATGTAAAAATGGTATGAAATGGTTTTGTGTAGTATACGAGTAGATGAAGAGAATTATATTACTTGTTATTATACATGTCAACACTTTTTATCGTTTTAATTTTTTAAACATGAATATTGCAGCTATAATGTGAAATGTTATAAAAATTAGTTTCATCATTTTTATAATGTACACCGTGGCAGGCCCGTACTGGTCCACCGGGCAACTGAGCAAATGCACGACGCGCCCATAAAATTACTGCTACATAAGGATTTTGGAGAGATATCCATTGTTTCTCATTAACAAGTAATAACCCCATAGTCTTCAGGAATACGTCATTGAAAAACGTTTATATATTTGTGAAGACAAGCGTTAAACCTAAATTATGATTCTTTAATCTGGAATCTATTGAGCCATAGGTAACCTGAAGGATTAAATAATAAAAATTAAGGCACCCTTAAATATTTTTGTAACCACCCCATTAGAGCAGCCAGTACGGGCCTGCAACGTGGCCATTAATAATAACTAAATAAAACTGTATAGCATTTATTATTCTAATATAATTGCAGTAATGGAGTATTAAAATATCACATTTTATTGCCAAGTCAAGTATTTTACCAGGTCATAAGGGCTATTATTGATTATTAATATATATGTTATGGCAATGGTGCGACTTACTATATTATGTATTATGTATAAATATTCAAACAACTTATTGATTACTCTTACCTATTTTAAACCAAAAAATATTTGCTCTTCATGTTTCCCGAAATAACTTTAGTCCAACACTTTATAATATGTTGAACAGAATTACTATACATGTTTTCTCGGTGGATCAGAGTGCGCTGAATATTTTATGTAGCAATACAAGTCAAAATGCAAAAGTTTTATTATTCTGGACTTTAATGTATGTATTTGTTTATCCGTGCTACGTCGTCAACTCAGAAACTCATGTAGATAAAATATTAAACTTTATACACATAAATGTATAATACGCGTTCAGTTGAAAAAGTGCTGAAGCAAACCACGACGAAAGGCATAGAAAAAAAATGTAATACAATTTTAAATCAGCTGTTTTAATGAATAATAATTTATTGTTTTACTTACATCACAGAATATACATACGGACGTTATAAAGAATTAAAATATTATTGGGCCTGATAAAAATAAAATGAAAACCTTCAACAATATGTGTTTTTATAATATTTATTGTAATAGTATCATAATCCTTGAAACACTAATTGAATATTAAATTCCATTTCATTACGTTATTAGAGATTTGAAGAGTACTTTATTTTATTTCAATATTATTCAATCATAAGCGAATTTGCAATAAATGTATTACAAAGAATTATTAAATATAACTCAACAATCTACACCATAGTACCAAACATTTCAATGATTACCCATATTTTGTAAATGTTTAAAAAATACTATTTTCAAAATGTTTTTTTTTTTTTTTTTTAATGTGGTTCTAGCTCACCTTTTTTTTTTTTACTTGCCATTAAAATAGCTGTACAAATTGTAATAAAAAAATCACTTCTAACATAAAACAATACATCTACAATTGTGCTTCCTCTTTTATTTCGCTCTGACAAATTTTAAATTTAATACTGTAAATATCCTTAAAAGCAGTAGAAGCTTACCCATTGAAGTTGACAGAAACATTTTATAGCTTAATATAGTTATCAAAATCTTCAACCAGCTATATATATTTTAATAGATTTTCAACAAAACGACTTTCTGTGTCATTGGACGTGAAGAAACTAAAAAATTATAAATTTAAATACCGACACAGCTGAAAGATAACAATTTATATATTATGTATTACGTGTAGCAAAGCAGTTTTCAGCAAACAGATTATAATTAGCTATTTTCACAAAAAGTAAAAGCTCGATATTCAACTATGGCAACGAAGGTGCTCCTGTACTCTAGGTCTTTCAGCCCTTCCCTCCTTGTGGGGGCCCTATATATACCTATATATATACTGTAAAAGTAACATTTACAGAATGTATAATAACAACGGAGAATTTTCATAAACATAAAGAATTATAAGCAGGTGCAGGTATATAATTTTACTAAATGGATGGATTATATAAGCCTGCGCCATCATATTTGCATTTTAGGTAAAGTCAGAAACAAAAATATACATCAGGATAGTTCCAAACTTTAGACTGCATAGCCAAATTCACCACCGAAAAATAAATATATCAGATGAGTGAAATGTGAAATATTTCCTGAATTACATTACACTAATTAGTCTTAAGATGATATTAAACTTTAAGAATCATCGGAAAGCAACAAAAGTTCAAGACTTCGAAGAACATCAATAGATTCCGGAATCGAACACCATTAGCTTGTAATATTTCAATAGATTAAGACCATTTTCCGATGCATAACAAACCTACTAAAGGCACTATGAACACCCCTCCCCCAGTGGTTTGATTTCGAAGATAATTCGTTGTCGATGAAAAAACAATTTTATTGACGATGTATTGCAGTAGTAAACACATTCTGTGCACACAAATAATATGATATTTCACCATCAGTGTCGTACCTGAATTACCTAAGGCCCGTGTGCAGATCAAAATCTTGAGATCCCTTATTGTAACTAATATATTTTTCTTGTCGTTAGTTTACGAACAGCGACCTATTAAAAATATTTTGCGACCCATAGGTTGGGAAATACTGCATTAGATGTAATGTTGATTTATCGGTGCTAAGTAGTACATCACGCATGGTCCATTTACGGTATATAATATCGCTTGGTTATTCGATTATACGCGTGATTAAAATCACTCCACGGATCAATACTTTGTTACGGTTTGCACTGTTTCAACATCAAAACCTACACCGCCGTGTGCACACGATAAAAATTTAATCAGAAAATACCAAGAACTACGCTAGACATCGTGCCAATTGTATTGTCAAAATAATATGAAGACAGTCGATAGCAACTATAGTATGTAATATATCTTAGATCAAGATGTGAGGAGATGGATTGACATAGGTTGTACATAGGTGATTGATCTTTGAATTTCGGGAGTGAAAGAAAAGAAACGATCGTAAAATACAACGTAAATATACAAAAATATTTCATTTATTAACCATATGTACATATGCATGTACAATAATACGTACCGTAAAGTTCGGTCAACGAGAAAGCCGACGAGGAAAAAGTTTCAAAGAACGTATAGAAATTATTCGAAGAAAATATCATATTAAAATATTGTATGCACGCGTATATACATATTTAACACACAGGGAAAAGGGTATATACGTGGAGAGTATTGTTATGGACGTCTCCATAACTATTTCGTTCGTGTAATAATTAATGCGTGGTTTTAAGTTATCACTATACTTTATTAAAATAATTAAATCAATAAAAACTTAATTTTAACAGAATTAGACGGATTTAAGTAACAGAGGCTCTTCCCGATGCTCTGATAGTAACACACTGATTCTTATACAGACAGCGAGACACGGTAGGGGCTCGCTTGGGCTCAAAACTGTCCGCTCAGCGAATTCTTTTAGACCGTGTGACCGAGTGTCTCTGCACATTTACAAAATGCTTACTTACCAACCAATGCAGACAGGGGTTCATAACAGTATAAAGTGTAAGAACAGAAGCACGAGACCAATCAACGAGTTATCAGGAACAATATTATAACAGCGTTACGTTTGAGAGTACATGTACTTATAAACCTTATAAATGTAAAATTTGAAGTAATAACGAGTATACTGTTATTGCTTCTAGGTATGCCGTAGAATCGATTTACAATTATATACGTATTATTCACGTACAGCCATAGGTGCAACTAGAGGGGGCTAGTGTGGACTTAGTCCCCCCATAAATATGCCATGTTATACATGGCATACTTCATACAGCATACTTAACTCACAATAGTGTCACATGCAAAAAAAGACACATTGCAGTAAATCCAACTTGGTTCAGAATCTAAAATATATTAACATGGTATATAAGAGTATGGGTAATCTATAGGTTATTTTAATTTTTAGTTGGAGGGCTGTAGCCCCCACAGATTTTTTACCCTAGTTGTGCCTATGCGTACAGCTCGACCTTTTGCCTTACGTTTTGCTGCAAACTGTATACCGTATTATGTATGGTTACGATTCGACTACGAACGTTGTGCCTTGCATCAATTCGTATTTAACATTATTACAATTATCGATAATGTACAAACGATCAAATCATTACGAGCAAATAAGAATATCGGTGAATAAGAATCTACCGCAATCGTTGCTATCGTACCTTGAACGCATCTCGCAGCTCCTTTTCTTCTTGGTCTGCCGTCTTCTCCGCGGTACCACCCATGTTGTACACAATTTCCACGAATTCTTGAAAACTGAACGCTCCGTCACCTGCGTATAACAACAAAAACGCGAGCGTATAGTATCCGGGACTTATGTTATTCGGTTGTGAATTTGGTCCTATTAAAATACTGCAAAATAGAGAATACCATTCTGTTTTATCGAAGAAAAAATAATAGTAATGATAATAACGAAATTACCGAAGGAAATCAACCCGTATTGCGATTTACGAGAAAACTAAGTACTCGTAAGCACTGCACGCAATTTGAGTTTCGAATATTTTTTTACTTGGAGAGCATAATAATTATAAATTATCAAATACGTACAGGCACTACTATTAAATAGGTAATGTTAGTTTTAATATTTTTTTATTTTTTGGATATTTTATCAGACAATAATTTATCTGTCATAGTAATATATTGGTGTTAAATATTTTTCAAAATTAAGTTACACAAAATAAACTTTTTTTACATGTACATAATATAAAACCATTTTTTACCAGAATAAAAATATTAAATTTAGACATACCATCAATATCGACTTCCTGTAACATCGTTTCCAGTTCTTCTTCTCTAGCAAACTGTCCGAGACTTCTCATTACTCGACCTAATTCTTCTTTAGTAATACTGCCGTCGCCGTCTTTATCGAATAATCTAAAAGCTTCTCGAAATTCTAAAATCAAGTTTGGATTGTTTAAAAATATTACCACCTATATAAAATATATTATATTATATAAAAAACAAAATGCCTGAAAAATATATGAAAATATTATTATTAATCATTTGGCGTTTTAAGATTAGTAATATTTTTTAGCACTGAATATCAAATAATCGTAGAAAAAATGAAATATCTATGAAATAATGATTACTGCAGTCCACCTATACGATTTTCTAATTTACAGTCATGAGATCCATGTTTCTCACCGTGTTCCTCAGAAAATAATAATTCTATATTCCAGTAAATATAAATATGCGAATAAATATTATAAAATTCGACATTAAACAGAAAAAAAACTCATGTTTAATATATATTAGTAGTAATAATAATTTGTACGTTTAAATTAATGGGTATAATAATGTTTCCGTTATGTCTCAAACATTATTATGACTTTCTACCAAGTTAAGACTGCAATAACAATAAATACTTATACTTTTGTACACGTTAAAAAATTCGTTGTGCAATATTTTTCAAATCGTAATCACCAACATAATAATTTAGTAACAATAATATTATACTGGTATTTAATTTGTAATCCGTTTCAGGGGTGCAATCACCTTTCATCTGTGCTTTGGTAACGTGCACTAAGTTTCTATCGGCAGGCTGAACAGATTGTGGACATACTTGGATTTCCATTGTAAGTTTTTCATTGCTTATTATTGCAGGTTTCGGAGCAGTGCCATTAACGTTATTACCGTGTTTCGTTACCGTCGGCTGTATGCTTACCGTGGGCGCTGTTTGCTCGTCTATTTGACGGTTCTAGAATGTAAAATACACAACAAACCGCGATGTCATATAAGTGTTGTATAAGTGATACGTTAAGCACACACACAACTATAATCATCCAATGTACAACACAAAATCTTTAAATTTCACGCGATATTTACACGGTGGAGAATATGCGTGTATACTGTTGAAGAAGTCAACTCGACTGTAAACAAACTATAAATTGCGTGTACGTACACGATGTGCTGTACATTTTATATACATTAATTTACAATTTTAGTACGTTGCAGTTTAAATCTATTAAAAAGTGCACTATGAAAACGAAAATTATCATTTACATGTACAACCGTAAACCAACTGTAGAAAATAAGAACAGACAATCATTAAAATTCAATTATATCGTCGTTATGTATATATACACAAATCGGTAACGAAAGAGGACAATTTATGTACAAACAAGGGGACATCCAAACGACCTTCTAAAAAAGTATATCTTAGACCCTTTTATAGAAGAGGACGAACTTCTTACATGTATTCATATTTATATACTTTCCTAGTGTGACATACGAGTACATGATAGGTAACATAAATTTGAAGAAAAAAAAACCTTGCCCCCTTCTCTTGAGAACAGCCCAGATCAATGCCGTATTTAGACATTTTGCGGCCCGGCGCAAAAAAAAAATTGGTGCCTCTCTAAAGGGCCTACCCTCGAAAAACATAGGAGATAAATCCTCATAAAACTTTTAGATAGGTATTCTAAAACCAATGCTATTTTTGTGTAGTAGGCACGCCACCGCACACCGCACGTGATAGCAACAAATTTGGGAACTAATATTAGGTATATTAATAATATTCTGGATCGCTGATAGCTATATTGCTATAAATATATTAATAAATTAAATATATCAACATTAATTTATGATACTTTTATTAAAAATAAAAAAAAAAGAATAATTTCAAAATAATTTTAAAAGTTCAATAATTCACAAGTGAGCAATTTCCAACCACAAAATTTTGGCCCCAAAAAAATGCCGCCCGGGGCAGTTGTAGTTAGTACCCCCCTAAATGCGGCCCTGGCCCTGGTACAAACCATAAACTACAGACCCGTGACCCAGACCTGTGTACAATATGATACGGGGAACCCATCTTGGATAGAAATAGCGTATTTTATCTGATCGCAATGTATAAATAATTGCAATGCGGATATAGTAAATAACATATTTGAAACGACGGGAATCGGTAAAAGACTGAATACTTTTGAAGTCCCGTAGCTGTTCGCTCTCCGTTAGTTTTCATTGCAAGTATAAAATGAGATCGTCAACTATTTTTAATTAGATAATTTTATTTGAAGTTTAAATCTAATTTGCGACTTAATTAAATTTTGAACATGCATCTATAACGTCATTTTCGTTACAGTTTGTACGAATAAATTTAGTTTTCTATCTATAATATAATATTGACATTAATCAAATTTCTAATCCAAATACATTACGCATATATTTAATAAAAAATATACTACTGCCTTTATACAACCCCGTGGCATTTTCGATGAGTGTAGCATTAATATTCAAAAACATTTAAATACTTAATTTAAATACTGTAAAATATGTGTCACTGACAACAAAATTAATTATATTATTCATTTTAACTTCCATTAATCAAAAGCTTTTGTTATTTATTCTAGAAACGATTTTACAATGAGTCATCTCTTATTTATAACATCAAAATTATGCATATTTATATATTATGATTCTCAATTGCGTTTTAACTAGGTCATATACTTTTTACGTTGTCCGATTATTATTAAATTATAATACAGTCACAATTATAGGCAAGAATTATATAACACACTGCAGGGCTGAAATTAAAATATCAGAATGCCGTCGGTCATCAACTATTTGTTCAATAGACAGTAATATAATATACAGGAAAAGATAAAACAATATTCAAATAATTATTTCATGGTAAATATTTCAGCAGCATAAAATTTAACATAATTATTATTATTAATATTATTTGTATTGATTTATCTTACTAATGTACTTACTATCATTGATTATAAATACTAGTATTTACCTAAATAATCAATGCTGTTATTTTGGTAATAATCCATTTTATCGGACGAGTTGTTTATAACGAACTACTCGTATGCAGTAGTATGCAGCAATAGCTATTATTTTGTACTGACAGACATTAGTAAAAAAACCTTTTCAATTTGATTTAACAATCTTAATGCTTTTTAAGTGAGATCGAAGCAGATCTATACAACAGGATTTACATAAACATAAAATTGATAGCTCTAAACAAATTATCATAGATATATATATAGATCTATACAACTAATAAATACAGAATGAAGTTTATAAAAATAGTACATTTTTTAAAACTATTTATAAGTTTAAATATAATACAACTCAATTGGTTATATGTCAATTGGTACAAAAATTAAACACGCATCACATAAGTACCTGTATAATAAAAATGTTTCACAACATATAAGCACCTTATTTGAGTTAGTTAATTAAATTATATTACAACAGATTACAAATATAATAAAATATGGCTATTTTTTACGTTATAAATACGGACTTGATAATTTTCATACTAAAGATTTTTTCATAATAATTGTGTGAAATGTATTTTTTCTTTATAATCTCGAACAACTAATTAATAGCTACACGTTTCATCTTTCGACCGGTAGATATTATAAGAACGTTAGATTATCCATAATAAAATGATTCATTCATCTATTTTAATTAAAAAAATAATTTAATTATTTTCATAAAAATATTTCAATATGTATTGTGCCGCACTACACTAATAATTTTTGATTGAAAATAAATGAATAAATCATTTTATTATGGATAATCTAACAATTCTTTAATTATTAAAAAATAAAGAATTATTTTTATTTCATTTTTGGTGCAATATGTATTTTAATTGTCAGGGGTATTAAGACGTTAAAAAAACTACACAATTCAATATATAAAAAATAAACATGGATTCTATACATACTTATAACCAACTACGATTATAAAACGAGTAGTTTAAAGAAAATATTTTGTTAGCTAATACTAAATAAAATAAAAATAAAATAATAAAATTATATTTTATTGATTTATTTTAAAAAGATTAGTTAAAATTATTATTTTAAAATTAATAATTATATAATTTATATTTAATGGAATTATAAGTATAAATATGATTACAATCTTAATCAAGATGTTTTTTTAAAATCTATAGTTTATCATTGCATTTAAATTTAAAAATATTCACTCATTGGCTTGCTTAACCCTTCTCTATATTGTATTATATTAGTATTTATTTAAAATTATAGAACTTAATATTATTATATTTTTTTTTTTTTTAATTCGCCTTTGTTCGCAAAGCTTAATATTATTATTTAATATTAATTACTATCACTAAACTGTTTAAAATCAATTTCAAATTTTACAACTAAGCATTGATCATTATTATAACAATCGAAAAAAAATATCATAAAAATAATCTTATAATAGATAATTATTAAGAGCATAATAAATGGCTGCATGTAAAATTTTACATGAATGACCTTTTTATCAGAATTGAAAACATCGTGCAATCTCCTACCTAGACCTTTTTTAAATAGGGGTTAAAGCTACATGACATAAACGCCGAATATTATTATGAACATTAAATAAGTTCTATTTAAAAAGTTAAATTTAAGATCGTGTTTATATCTATAATCTATACTATAGATTCTATAGTCATCTCAAAATGAGATCAATACTGACCGTGATCAGTTTTCGTTCACGACGTTTTAATGACATACATAATATGACGCTCTATCATATTTTTATTTTTATTTACAAAATAGTCGAGCAGGTGTAATGTACATGTAATTTTCAACAGATATTTTTTTCTTAAAAAAAGTTAGCAATTGTTTAGCTAAATTTTATACTTATTAAAATATTGTATAAAAATATACAGTTAAACTACTGTATTCAAATATAAAAAAATGTATTATAACCAAATTGACTTATTTTTATTTTAGTAGTTCAGCTTTTTGTAACCTCAGTAAAGGAGTTAACTCCTTAATTAATTAACTTAGTTAATTAACACTATCTTATGTAGGAAATATAAGAGATTACCTACTTTTTTAGGAGTTTACCATTTTCCTTATAAATTTCTATACTCGATTAACAATAAAGAATTAATAATGAGGGGGAAGATAATATTATAATTATCTGTTACGACCCATAAGATATTTTATTATTTCATCTATACCATATAGTAAATTAGAAATTAATTTATACTTTTAAATATTGCTCATTGGTTTAAACCAATTTGGTTCATATTTTTTATACTCGTTTTACATAAATTGAAATAATTTATACGGGTTTTCAACATTTATTTTCTTTCTGGTGGTTAGTATATTCAATTTTAATCTGCATGCTATAATTTTACCAAGGAAACGGTTTTTATTGACAATTAAAATGTATACTGTACCAGGTCCCTTTTATTTTTTTACTCCAAATAATACAAATATTAACTTGAAAAAAACAAACTGACTCAAATTCCTAGTGATACTTCAAAATGTATTATTATTTTCCTAAGTCTAAAATGTTAAGTAATATAATAGTGAGTTTTCGTTTAAAAGCCAAGTGACGATGAACTTTTATATAATTTATACGGTAAAAAGGGATCAATATTTTAAATACATTCTTCGCTTCGCTCAGTATCTAAAATATAATAAGCTTTAAAAATTTGTATTTTATAATAATTTTAAAATTAAAAATAATATAAAATGAAAAAATATCTATTGAGTATCAAAACAATTATTTTTATCTTAGCTCCTGTGAAAATCAATAAAGAGTTTCATTAAACGGTATTAAAAATGTTTTCTTTGTGTTATTGTAAGACTTTTAAAAGGGTAGATTAGAGTTATTCGCAAATGTCGATATCGAACGCTTACATTAATTAAACGTATACCTCCTAATACTCACTATTAAGTTATCCTACATACTATCTTGAATAGTATTAATTTTTATGAGTTTAAGGTAAAAATGTGTAACAAAAACTCTTGTAGTCTTAAATAATATTAATTTACTGTAAATTATAAAAAATATCAATCACAAAACAGTAGTACATTACCATATTACTAGTGAAAACCAAACAACTGGAAATCATTATATTTTAATAATATATTAACTATATTTAATTCAAATCAAATTAAAAGTGATGATCATTGGTGATCAATGTGATTATATCATCTATTATATTATATCTACAAGTGTGATTAATATGTCGCCGACCTTTTCTATACACCTGTTTTATCATGTATTGACACAGTCGTCATGGATAATCGACAGTAGTGTGATTAATGCCGATTGAACCTTCGACTCAGAGCCAATTCAAAATAGGGTTAGGGTAAAATACAAACTCTTTGTTTAAATGACATTTCGTAAACCTGTAAGTATAACGTATAAGTGCCAAAAAGTATAGGCTATGCAATATGAATATGTATTATATTTAGATGATCGTGAATATTTCCGCGTTACATTATCACTTATAATCAGTAAGTATTTATTAATAGATTATTCTTTTAAACAATGTATGAATTTCGCAACGAATTATGTAACAGTCAAGTGTTAAATATTGAACGAATTTGGCAACATTTCAAACTAAAATCAGTGGAAAAGTTAAATACTTTATACAATACAATCTGAATGTATATTGTGTATTGATAAACATACATTAAAAACAATTATATGGTTCAAAATTTTAAAAACCATAAAATGTTGATTTCGCGAATTTTATGATTGCAAAAAAGCACGTTACGCGGATGAAAAACGTTTAATTCCATGTACGATCGTGTATAATAATTCTCATTTCAGAATTAGGACAAGAAAACCGTTTGAAGTGTCTGGTGATGTATATGTAGCTTTCAGTATAATTTCCGCGTTGTCGATTATACAATGAAATCATTTCAATTCAAGTAGAATTGCACAAAGGGATATAATTAATATTATGTATAAGTATTGTTGTGTAACCATAGAAACAGTAATATACTCACGACAAAATTCCGTATTTGATTCACCAGCGGCGAGGGTGAGAAGTATTTTCCGAAAACCGAGGCTATTTTCCCGTCCATGGTTATTATATAATAATAATAATGAAGCAATATAAATTCACTTGAACACCAA